TGAGACACTCACCACAGCAGGAAAAGAGCTTGCTTATGACTCCTACAATTGCTGAATCGACGGGTTTTATTTTGCATGTTTTATCAGCATGCAGATATATTTGACATCTGCTGTCTTCCCCCCACCCTTCAACAGAAGTGCAGAAAACGAGTATGCCTCCCTCTCCATTACATAAACGTAGCACTGCAGTAGTATTTAGCACTGCCACTCTAAACCTAAGCTTACAGACTCCTTCAGACCCAAATAAGAAGCCTCCTCCCTTATTTTTAACGGGTGGTAAAAGACTTTTTCTAAGGCCCCTAGAACTAGCAGGATGATCTCTTCCCTGAAGTTTCCTGCAAGAAGGGTCTTCGAAATTGCCCTCATATTGCACTGTTTAGCCAGTGCTTGGTTTCCAGGAGAGACATGTAGAGACAGGATCTGTGTAGCACCCTATCCGTTCTAGAACAAAGAAACTCTGTTCCTTCCCCATCTCCAAGACAGAAGACTTCTCACATTTTCTACTTTTTTTCAGAAGAGGGAAGGTGAGGAAGGAAAAAAAAGTTCCCAAAGGACCACAGACTGACTATGTCTCATATCAGACTTTTGAAGTTCCACCTAAAGCCAAAACATTTGAGAGGAACTGATAATGGAAGCCCACACCATCACTGGTGTTCTTGACATGACAGGTGCTCTCAATGTAGTAACTTGGAAAAAAAAAAAAGTCTCAGAGCTCAAATGTTTGAGACACACACATACCCACAACAGACACACAGAAACAAATAATCAAACCAGAGGAAGTTTCTAAACTAGAACTATTCACGGAAATAAAATCCATGCAATTGACCTCCCACCTGCGAGAGGGCGAGAAGTTATGTTTGTGGGTGGTTGACTTGGCTGGAGCTCGGGAGGTTTGTCTTCGCCTTGCAGCAGGTGGTGAGTACTCCCTGGAAGGGGAAGAATTACTGCCAGAATGATCTGCAGGACTAGGAGAACGCTTCTGTCTATGGGAGCTTTCAGAGGGATCCCTGGGAAACGACAGCAGCTTGTTTAATAGGCACAATACAACATTAGTAAATTTCTAAGAAATTATAAACAACTCCCAAGACAGAAACTGTGCTTACAAGATCAAGAACTATCTTATAGAATCATTTGTTCCGTCTATAATTTCAGATATGAATTAAGCTAGCAAAACTCAAAAATGCAAGATATGCACTAAATTTCCTGCCAATCACTGGACAGTAAAATACAATGAATATGGTAAAACCAAAAATGTATTCTTGTAGTTCTACCTAATATTTCATGCGGCGGTGAAACAGAATTTCTATCAGTGGAGAATTATCTTGCTACCTTATTTAAAAATTTCTGTAATGTCAGAACTTTATTTGAGAAGCCTCAAGCTCAGATATATTCAAACACTAATCACAGTTTCAAGTGAATGAACGAGATATGTCAGAACCTTCAACTATTTCAATCAGGGTACATCATGAAGATCTGATACTATTTCTTAATTTTTATTATTTAGGAAAAAAAAAGACAAAAATCTAACATTGAAATAAAAGGGTGTAGTCCTCACAGCAATACCTGAATACAGTACAACGACAAGCCAACTACTCTCTTGATCCTTACAGCACTACCTAGAATGTTTTCTACTGCCTATGACCTCCTTCCAGTAATGGAGTGTGCAAGCATGAGGGAAATAATATATTTGAAAGTAAGAACAGTGTAATTTATTTAATCAATTAAAAATACACAGTTCACTCATCTTCCACTCCTTAGACTTCCCCATGCTGGTTACAAAGTAAACACTTACAAACATGTACCCTATTTTCATAAGGGAATACAGAACTTAAAAATGCAGACGTTGTATTTTTCAACTTAAATGGACACCCACGCTTCAGAAAATATTGGGAATAGTCATATTAGTCCACTATTTGATAGATACAGCTATAGATATATGCAAAAGTGAAGTAATTTTAAAATCGCAGTAGTCTGCCTCTACTTCAGAAATACTTTTAACCTACTGAAGATTAGGGAGAGTTTAAACGTGTCACTGACAATTTAGAAAGGTATTAGTCCTCTAAGATTTCAGAGCAGGCAAGGGGACAAGTGCATGACTTTGACAAAGCTTTTGGCAAATGAATTGCTCCATTGGTGAAGGTCCAACTTCCTGAAAAGTAATGACTCTTTCAAAAGGGCATTTTACAAACTTACAAAGTTATGTAATTAAAACTACCAATCTGTTAGTTATAGTCTATCAATCCATCTATATAACGCTCTTAAAATATTTAATAAGTACTGAAAAGGCTGCTGGCAAAGCAGGACTAAATCCCTTATTATTCAGTGTTCTATAAAACATAACTTTAAAAGCAAGGTTACATTAATGTTAAAAGCTAATAATGCAACATAACTTACCTCTGCTTCTCTTTTTTCTCCTTGTGCCTTTCAAAGTCACGCCCTCTCTCTTTCACCTCCCTTGCCTTTTCTTCTGAACGCTCTTTTGCTTTATGTTTTTCTTTGTGTTTCTTTCCCAGGGGAGTTTCCTCTTGTACTGGAGGAGGAGGACTAGGGGTACGAGGACCTTTCTTTTTACTCTGGTTACTTTTAGAACTCCTAGACATAAATTAACAGGGGAGGGGCAGAAAAATGAAGGATTTCTCAGATGTTGGCAAGAAAGTTATAACGTAAAGGGCCTTGAAGCTTTTAGGGTAGGATTCACCACTCCATTAGCAAGCAGCTTTCAATAACTGTACTTGACTGAAGGGTGAATGCAGATGGTAAAAATTCACATTGAGCTCTTCCATTTATAACCTTTATTTCTGAAGCAAGTGAACAAAAATACGAATTGCTCCCACTCAGACAAAACCAGTTTTCAAAGCTAAAATGCCCTTGTATGAACTGCACACATCAGAGAAACAGAACTCTATCTTGTCTGTTTAGACTCCCATTTCTGCAATGCAATACCAGTCACATTCACAAAGTAATCTGAACAACTCACGTCTTTGATTTAATGTTAACTACCTGATGCAGGGTAAAGCACCCAAGTATTTTTGAATATGCATCTCACAATACGAAAGAGTATATATTCTTCCACACAAACTACCACTGAGATAAACCCTATAAACCAGAGATCACTTCACACTGAATGTCAGTAGCATATTAGCCCGTGCTGTACGTTCTTGTAGCAGAAATAACATTCTTTTGTCCCTATTTTAAAGGGGAGTTTTGCTTAGCAAATACAGATGTGTTTGTTTACACTGCTGTAATTTCTTTCCTATCTAAAAGTCGCAAACAGGGATTCAAACAGTGATCCAGCAAGAACTTAGAAACAGGTTTAGAGATTTGACTTTTTGTGGCAAGGCACCCAGTTTGAACTTCCTGTGATTCTTCACATACCTTGCCTTAATTTTTTTCCCCTCCCCCCAACAACCGCCACTTCTTTTCCCCTCCTGAGAAATCTCCTGCCTTGAAAATCCAACATTATTTCCTGAACAGCAACATGCAATACCAACAGAATGTGCAGTTGGTCAAATTCTAAACATTTCACTTCAGTCTAGAGGAGCTACTTCACAGGCTGTGTCTCCTCAAATAAAACTGCTTCCCACTCTTTAATGGCTCGTATTTCCTCTTCACCACCCAGAAATTCTGGACATTCAAAGAGGAAAGACCTGCTTGTAAATCATGAAGTGAATCAACTGACAACTATATGCATGTAACAATTTTCTGCAAAAGATGATTCACAGTGCACAATTTAGTGACCTTCCCCTAAAGTTATATAATCAAAAGTCTTGAAAGCAACGAAAATGAAAAGCCGTATTATCATAGAATCATAGAACGGTTTGGGTTGGCAGGGACCTCAAAGATCATCCAGTTCCAACCCCCCTGCCATGGCAGGGACACCACCCACTAGACCAGGTTGCTCAAGGCTCCATCCAACCTGTTCTTGAACACTTCCAGAGATGGAGCATCCACAACTTCCTTAGGCAACCTGTTCCAAGAATAATATTAATTATGAAAACCCCAGTAATAAAAATCAGCATCATTCTCTGTTCTCACTTTCTCACAAGATACACTCACATACTGACCTCTGCTGATCCAAAAGTGGGGAAGATACAGTAGATGCTTTCTTCTCTTTCTTACTAGCTGAAGATGATGATTTGGGACTGGATCTTCGTTTTGGAGATTTGCTAGACTTTCTTGGTGACGGTGATAATTTAGATCTAACCACCTCTGGAGAAATCTTGAGGAAAGGAATATATTAAACAATAAGATATTGATGCTCAAAAGCTTACCTGTATGCCGACATAGGTGTGAGGTATGTAAATTCAGTCTAAATCTGAGATCTTAACCACGTACGCATCTACCTCAAATAAACTAAGCACATTGTTTTCAAAGAACACCATAAAAGGAAGATGACAGGAAAACAGTGGGGGAAAAGAAGATGATGCGCTCTGTAACACATTACAAAAACTGTAACTAGAAGTTTAAAATCAGTATGTCCCCAGAGAGCACTCAAGTTTGTCTGAAAAACAAAGATCTCCTTTCAGGCTTTTTCTCTTTTTTTAATCTTCCACAAAATTTTAAGGTTTCTAACACTTAACAGCTTTGCCTCTGTCATTCTACTTTGTTACTACAAGACATGTTGGAAAAGGAGCCTGGCAAATGCCTTGTGTTTTCTTCTACATGTCTTCTCTAATAGAGACCTTATTAGTCTTATATGGTTCAAATGCATTAAAACCTACTCATTCAACAGCTGACTTCATAAAGCAGAATACTTGGTTACGGTGCTGGATGATTGACCAGATACTCATAACTAATATCCAAGTCACATACTAAGTTATACACATGCCAGTTATTTACTACTATGTAACACGACTGTGCATTTGTAGCCCAGGAAGCTCAAGTCTTCCAGGAAACAATTAGAAGCCTATGAGGTGGCTGATGACTTTTTTTTTTAAATTTCAAATTTATGTAATACAAACCTCTTTTTTGATGACTATTTCCTCTCGTTTCTCCATGTTTTCCTGTTCCAACTTCATGAGTTCTCTCTGAATCTTTTGGCGCTTCATTTCCAAAGACAGCTCATGATCATAATCATAATTAACATCTCCATTATCAGAGTCTTTATTTAAAAAAAAAAAAATTAGTAAACAATTACATATGAAATAAATAACAATATTCAGCATACTGGATGCCAAGCATAAATATTTCCATGACTTTTAAGCACTACATGAATGGATGAATGAAGCTAAGACAAATCTCTTCCCCAATTACGTGTATAAACCTGAAATAACTCACTAGTTCCACATAACCTGCGGTTAAATTCTTAAACTTCATTAAAAATACACCTTAACTTCTTTCAGAGACTAGCATCAATTATTGAGCTATGGTAGCAAAGGAAACCCAGTAAACCAATTTTTTATATTTAAATACCAAAAAATTAAAAGAGTGTGTCTTCACAAAGTCCAAAAATATGTAGAGCACTACTTAATTGCAAAAATCTCACATACAATGGATTTAAATAGTGATGCATGATACTAGAGGATTTTATTTAATACAGTATCCCACAAATCAATTGACAGACTTACTTAATTACATCTACAAATTGATTTTAAAATAAAATAAGAAGTTTGTACGATCTCTTTCACTGGACAAATGCGCACTTCAAGAGTTTATTTCTGTTTGTAAAACATTGCTGTTTGGTTTTCACATCAGAAAAGGTGCTGTTCCTCTCACTGTTTCATTACATCATGGCTAGTCAATATCATACACTTTAAGCCTTGCAACTGAAATCTTACTGAAAATCAAAGCAGTTTTACTCACTCTGTTTACAGTTCTTACTTTGTTTATGGCTATTTAAGTCTAATGCTCAAAAAGCACTTTAGGAATATAACTGTCAGAGAAAAAGATTACTTCATTAGAAAGTCATTAGGTAGAGAAAAGATTACCTCATTAGAAAGTCATTAGGTTTCACTCCCCTCCCTACACACAGGAACTACATAAAAGGTTTTGCAATAACTAAACTCAGTCTACAAATTCCCTTCATGCGTCATGAATGCATGGGAACAGCTCATAAAGGGGTGCAGTTCCTAACAGCACAGGCTCTTTCCCAGTCCATCTGTCTGCTTATATAGCACTCCCTAGAACTTAACAGACAGTAATTCTACTTCATTCATGTAACTATGATCAACAAGACTTTGAAAAAAAAAAAAAAAACCGCAAAAATAAAACCAATCATTCTTAAGCTCAAAGCCTCAGTGTCTAAGACTTAAGACATTCATACTACATATTTATATAGAACTTCAGGGTTTTATGTTCCAAACATTTTGACTTAGATTCTACTTCCATGCATACCAGTCATAGGTCAAGGTTTCTTAAATCACATCGAAAACAGAATTCAGAAAGGAGTGAAAATATATTATGGCTACTTTTCTATTCATGTATTGTGCATAAGACACAGCAAAACAATATTTGCAACACTTCTAGCACAAACTATAGAAAAGTGACCTAGTTACTGAAATTTACAGAAGAGCTCCATTCCACAAACAACTTGTAGTATACTGTATTGCAAATACATTCATTATATCTGAATTCACACAGAATGGATCAGGATTCACATCTTCTCTTGCAATATTGTAACTACTTCTGAAACACTGACACTTGCAAAACTACACAAACATCACAGGTTCATTAGAAGCTACCATAACTTCAATGTCAGGTAAACTTGGTCTCAACAAAAGTGAAACTCAGAAGAGAGAAAACAAAGACAGTCTTTTCCTCAACTGTCTGCATATTAAACAGATTAGTATTATTAACAAGGACCACAAAATCACCTTTTAAGCAAAAAATCCCACCCAAACAAAATGACTACAGAAGGTAATGCAGGACTCTTACCACTCTCCCAAGTGTTTCTGGAATATAAGTAGTTCATCAATTGCTACCTTCAGCTGTTGTTACACTCATGCTAATGGAGCCTTGTTAATGGAGCCAGTTCACACCATTACAAATCACGCAACAAAAACCTGCTGACTTTTGAATCTGAAGGAGTTATGCTCTCTCCTCAGGCTGACCAGTTTCAAAATTACTTTGGATCTAACTTGGACTCAACTAGTGACCTAAATATGAATGGTTCAGCCACAGAGCAGCCTATGGCTAAGTTTCTTGTTGTCTGAGGAGTCAAGGAAAAAAAAAAAAAGCAGCACATTTTCTTAAAATAAGTTGGGTTTACTGACGTAGCAGTCCAATTCAGATTGCTGCTTTGCTCTCCTCCAAAAATAAACATAAATGGCTACCGCACAGAAGTATTCCGCTTAGAGACCAAATCTTTAAGCATTCTTTTTCACATACAGCCCAGTAACGTTGCAATTCTTTGAGCTGTCGGGGGACCATCGGTTTAATTACACTTACCTTCTCTGTTTGTTTCCCAATCCCCATTTTCCTCTTCACTTTCTGGTGTTCTCTCCTTTGTAATTTTGATATCTTCCTTTTCTCTATGTCTTCCTCGTGAAGACTCTTTCTATAAAGGGAAAAACACTGCATTAGAGTAAACAATTTTATTTTAAAAGACGCCTGAAGAAGCAGGTATATTTTACATGGTATTTTGGCTGTTTCTTTTTTATAGAACAAAAAGCATTTTCCCCTCTAGCCTGTTGAACAAATACCTTCTTAAATAAACAGAGACTCCACAGGCAACATGTTCTAATGCAATTTCATATAATCAGTATGCAAATAGCAGATGGGTAAAAGAGAAGAACGGATTCATAAAATTAGAAGGTTTAAAAGCAGGGCAAGAATCAAACACATACCAGAGAACAAAGTTTAAAACAGGAACCAAAAGAACAGATCAGGTTCTTAAGACCAGAAGTTTATGAACATTTAAAAAGCGTAATTTTAACAGCTTGAGTAAGAGTTCTCAACTGTAAATAAGAATATTTATATCCAAGGCAGATGAGCCTCAGAAGCTGAACCATTTAACTCTCCAGAGGATGAAGAAGGGGGGCGAGTGTAATAGAATAAAAAAAAACAGAGACCTTAGCTGGCAGAAGGAAGGAGAAAAAACACCTGAAGCAACACACCGGAATCAAGTTTTGCTGACAGCTTTATATTTGAACTTTCACTGGCCCCAAATTGTTAGACAAGTCTAACTATGGCAGTAGCACCCATTTTGCATGTGGCAGATGGTCCTGTGGACACCTAAGGAAGCCAGAGACCATTCTTACAGGAAAGAAGATAATTTCAAAAGGCAACTGAACCTCTGCTGCTCTTCTCCCCCTGCTAAATTCCAGCAGTAAAGCTGCATAGTTGCATCAATGCCTCTGCTGAATTGACATTCTCTAAATAAACTACCTGGGATCAAGTGGAGTACAGGACTAAGTTTTTTCACTATTTGCAAGAAAAGAACATTCAAGCTTAGAAGTACCTCAGATTGACTTATTAAATAGGAAACCAGAAAGAGCAAATAATTAAAGTCTGTCCCATATCCCTTTTGTTCTCACCTCCCATAGTGCCTTCTTTTGTCTTTTGGGGATTCTTCAGTGTTGATATGTAGGAATCTTTGGTTTTACGCTAAGAAAAGGAGATGCCCAAGCATTTCACTAGCTATTACTTATTGGGACTTAGATCTTGACTTAATTTGATCCTTAACATCACCTTAGAAACACAGCAAGGAAATACATAACATTGTGGATAGTCACTCCATTGTGGATAGTCACTCCCAAGTGTGCACTGTCGCTCCCAAGAGAGTAAAATTCAACTATTTCTTTTAATTCACTAGCAATGTTAAATTCTTATCTCTAGTTTAATGATGTAAGTGATGACAGAACAAGTACTGCATTTATTTTACCTAGCAAACTAAACCAGATGCTTCAATGCACAGTTATCACCAAGCCTCTCATCCTGATGCATTCAGCATATCATATTCAAAGCCTTAGAAGGTTTGGAAAAAACTGACCGGTCACTACATAACACAAAGGAATTTCACTATATAACACAAAGGAATTTCACATTAAAGAACTAATTTGTGCCATGTTTAATTCAAAGCAGCTTGTAGAAAGTTTGGGGGTTTTTTCCATTTCATGACAGGATCTCTAAAACAATGCACAGAATCCTAACCTTTCAAGTCATGTTAGTTGCTGACATCAAGTGCAGACAAGTCCACATCAACTAAGCCATCATCACAACATGTACTAAAGGCATTTCAGCCTAACAGCAAGAATCGTACTATCCTCCAAAGCGAGTTACTATAAAAGAAAGCTACTCTGATGAGATCTCAAAATCTGTAACTTTGTCAATAAGCCTCTCCTGCAACCACTCTTTTTTTTCCTTAAAGTATCATAATTTTTCTAGACTGCCCTCCTTGAAGGCTGTATCTGTTCTATTAAACTGTGTACTTCTGCTATACACTCCAACTAATTCCTACAACATAAACAAACAATAAACATAATTTCTTAAATACAACTACTAGTTTCTATTAATTCAACGCTATTTGTTACTAGCAAACTGAAATAGGCATGTTAAGACATCCTCTATATACTGATTTTAAAAAAACTTCTCAAAGCCAACTCCTCAAATAACTTGTCAGCAGGTAAGTCAGAATGCTTCAAGATCAATTTAATAACCCATGTTAAAAATACTCACAACCTGTATGTACCTCGCCTACATCCCCAAACTTACAACCAAACACAAGTATCTTGAAACAGCCTGAATTTTCTCCTTTGCGTAGAGAGATTCAGTAATGGCACAATCATACTTCTACAGAAAAACTTCATACAGAAGAACTGAGAACAAAAACATCTATGAAAGGAATTTTATTGAATTACTGAATATAGGGGAAGGGAACAGATAATTTTTTGCAAGCATGCTATTTTACAAGTCAGGATAGCTTGATCCAAGCCCGTTCGTACACTAAATGACCTCAGTTTAGCTGCTGGGAAAAAAGACTCTGGTAACACTGCATCTTGAAAAACAAATCCCAGTTTAGAAATTTAATATATTTTTCTGGGGCACACAAATCCAGAATGTCACATGTAATGCTTTAGAACACATATTTGAATTTTCTCATCGAAAAGTCTTCAACATATTCCTTTTATTGTCCTTGTTCCACTTCCAACACATTTAATTCCCTCATACTATGGGGAGTATAGTTCTTACACTTTACACAGGTTTCTTTCATCTCTCCCTTTATAAGCCAAGAATAAAATAAGTCAAGCTCCTAAAGGCCAAAAGCATGTCTTTCACTTGTACTTGAAGATGCTATATCCATTTCAGTCACACTTGTAAACAATTTCTCTGCAGACTATGGAAAAATGTCATTTACTAGACAAGAAACAATAAACTTCCATAATAATATACTTATTTACTAAAAAAAATATTAAAAAAATTGTAGATTGTCCTAACAGTAATCAACTTAGTAGACTTTGTCCATGCTATTTTCAGGAATGTGCTCACAGTTAAACTATTTACATGTGTTGGATAGATTATTACAGTTTAACGTTGACATTCAGGAGAAATACTACTTAAGAAATGAAAAAAAAAATACAACATTATGGCTGAATCCTGTGAGACTTTATTTAATTTAACATCTACTTAAGTTCTACACCCCATAAGATAAGATCAGCACTCTACAGCACAAGACTTGATGTCTACTTGAATGAATTTCCCACTACAGGCAGAAGAGTTTGGCCAAGCACAAAAGGACTCTCCCAGTCTACAAAACATGCCTCTAGCCAAGAAGCGTTATTTTGCCAACACTGGTGGAGAGAATATTCATAAGACTCTTACAACCTACAATTCTTACAAGGCAGAAGCTTCATTTTCAGCCTTATGAGCACCAGAACATGCAGCAGCAATATAAACTAATTCAAAAGCACAGATTCCTTTAAATCTAGAATAAGCTATCATGTATTACAGCTAGAATCTTTTGGGCAAGCATAGTAGTATTTTGCTCTAGGTGTAACACCTTTATAGTGTAAGCTACTATGACACTACACAAACATAGAAGAAAATGAATCTGAAGTTTCCCTAAAATTAACAGGTATCGTTTCCATTTCAGAAATGGAAGACAATGGTGACTTCCATTTCCAGTGGAGATATTCCAAAGCCACAGAGACAAAAACCACAGATATGAAACAAGCGATACACACGCCTTACAAAAACCTTTCCTAAACGTATATTAAGTTCTTCCCACTGTTTCTCCCAAATCACACACACCTCCCAGGTAATACTTTAGGTAATACTTCACATATTCCAAGGTAACTGTCTTCTCACAATACGGAGAAAAATTCAACATAAAAATTTCCAACTAAATACAGTAACAGCAGGAACCTTATCTAATTATTTGTATAACAACTGATAGGCTAACACACAGTGCTGAAATAATTCTGAACACAAATCTGAGAAACACAGAAACAACTGAGTTCAATATAGTTGTCCACATAACGCAGCATATTGTCTCCGAAAGTAACAGTTCAAGATATGAAGAAATAAATAAGGGATATATCCTATAAGCTGCCCATATAGGAAGTGTCTTCCTAAATACACACAGATTATACTAGTTATCTTGTGCCTCTAAAGAACAAGACATTTCTTCTAAAAAGACTTTATACTAGTTATACTGTCTCAACTTTTTGCAGAACCTATTCAGGTTTTTGACTGTATCTTCTGGCAATCAAGTAGACTTATCATATATAACATAAATAGCATTTCCCCTCATCATTTTCAAATTTGCCACTCTTTCTACTAGGATAAAGTATGAATATGACGCATCTAATTTACATTCTCTCAACCATACATTACATGCATTTGCCACAGGTCCTTTCTTCTCCCCAGTCTTTTTGTCATCTCCTTGCCCACTTCAGAAAGACCTTTGACTGTATTTTCTTGCATACAGGGTGATCACCAAACAGCATTTCAAACAAAACTGGTCCATGAATTTCTACAGCATAATATTGATCATTTTCTGTTCCATTTTTATACATCTGAGTGTTTGCTTCTGCAACTGTGACTGCACTTTGAACAGATGGTTTCATTGAGCTGTCCACAATAACTTCTTTTTCTACTCAATGGATTCAGTTACTTTTAAAATATTCATTCATGATTTTTTGTTTTAAATACTTTCTTCATTTTGCATTACCTTGCACTTGCCAACACAAAGTTTCATCTGCCATTGTACTGCCAAAAACTATCTTTCCCCAACGCCTATGGCATTCCTCAGACTTTAATAAACTCAACTACTGTTTTTAAAGAAATTTTTCAAGCTTCTGCAGTTTGATATTTGGGATGTCCAACATTTTTTCCACATTCTTAAAAAGTTATAGCTCTTTAGATGAAGCACCATAGCATCATCTTAACTTCATCATTCGAAATGAAAGTGTTCCCCTTAACTGGCCTCTAAACCTGACAATATTATACCTGCTATTCTTTGATTATCTATATGCCTCAAAAGCCTTGTTTCAAAAGAATCTATTTAAGGTTTCACCTGTATCAGACAGTTCTCTCTTAGCCACTCCTCTCCATTAAAGTTTCAGGCTAGTAGACTGGTGAGGTACAAATTTTGTCTGCAGGAACAGTGCTGCCTTTTTTTTTTTTTTCTTCTTTCTTTAAAAAAAAAAAAAACAACCAAACCACACACCACACCCCACAATTATGAAACTTTCTGTGGAACAAGCTACTTTTTGTTATTTCAAAGCAAAGTTAAAATTTCTTATTCAGTTCCTCTGTTATCTCAAAAGCTTTAATAAGAGATGGAAATGTCAGATATTAGATCTCCACCATAACAGTAGCTCTAATGATGGAGCAAGATTTTTGCCAGCAGTTCAGTCACTTCAGTCTTCTGATCTTTTAGATATCCTGGTTCTTTGCAATACAACTCTTGACGACTGTCCCTCTTCATCTATTTGTTCCAGAATATTTTCTTTGGATATCCCATATTTTGAGAGTTGCCTCAATGCAACTAATACAAAAGCTCAGTGGTTTCCTCAGCCTTCTGTTTTATGAGATTGAAGTAGAGCATTTTTTTCTCTGCAGTGTGTTTATTCTGTAAATAATTCTTTGGTACTTTAACAGACCCACTAATTCTCCGACTCCTTTTGATTCCTGCTTCCAGTTCAACTTCACTTGGGGTTTAGTTGTTTAAAGTTATTTTATTATTACATTAATAGAACACTATAAAAACAGGTTTAACTAACCAGAAGTAAGAATCACATCAAAAGTAGAGTTGTACCAGGAGAGAAGAAGTTACAGTAAATTTTTAATAACGGTTGGAAAAAAAACGTTTCCCACCAACCACGTACTCAATAACTCAACAGTTTATTCAAACTATTAGAAAATAAAAGAAACACATTCAAGTAAAAGAGTAAAAAGATTGAAAGTTTACACAAATTAACAGCAACTGAAAACATGATTGGAAGGTAAGCCATTTCTGTTAATTTAATGATAGCAGCTGCTGTTGATTTCTTTACACCTGACGTAAAAATTCATTTTACACAGCAAGTAGGAACAGACCAAGAGGAAAAATAAAAAAAGAATGCTGTTAATATCTGCAGAAGCAAAACTGATTTTTCACAAATAATAACTTTTAATCATTATTCATATGAAGATGGTCTTAAAAAACATGACACAAGAATACACTGGTGCACGGTCACACTACCAACTCTGCCCCTGTTTGTCTGTAACATCAGGAACAGGTAACACAATTTAAAAATAAGTAACTTCTGATATTTGAGGGGTATAGGTTGCAGAAACATGACTAGAAAATGAGAACGATAATGAATTTTTTGCAAAATCCAAGTGAGCAGTTGGGATGGCTGATGAGTATGTGAAGAAGGCGGCGAAGTGAACCAGCACAACAGTAACTGCATGGTCTCATAAAAAGCAAATTTGGGATGAACAACTGGAGTCAGGATGCATGTAAACAATGGATATGAGTAAGTGTTGGGGGAAAAATAGTGGATGTTTGGAACAACAGTTGATACACCTTCTTGGCAATAATCGAAGAGGCTGCACTGTTATTAAATACCTGTTTATCAGCATTTAGAACATATTTTAGTCTGCGAGATTTATAAAATCTTCGGGAGCCAAAAGACCAGAAAGTGCTATAAAATTGCAAAATAATACAATTGTTAAGAAACTTTATAATAAAATATGCCACATGCTAAGTACAAAAATGATCAGTTCATTAAAAAATATTTTAAGTATTGCAAGTCGCCATGATCGGGTTTCTAGGACACGCTGCCCAATCGCTACTGAGGGATTCTGGAGTTCTGCAAACTCCATTCTTACCCTAACAGGAGAGGACGATTCCTCTGTACTTCGTTTCTGTGGCTCTGCCTCAACGTCTTGACGTTTGTTCTTCATTCTTTCCCGAAGATCTCCAGTGGGTCTTTCTGGCGACCTGCATAATACAGAAACATAATATAACCAGTTCTATGGGACTATTTTTAAAGGAACACAATCTGTCTTTTAATTATTTTATTAGTGTATATAGAAAGATCTAAACCTCCCGCCCAGAAGCAAAGTGGATGAATAAAAAAATATTTCATTCTAATAAGCTTAAGCATTCTAAAAACCCAACTCTTTCAGAACATTAAGGAAGACTTGACTCTAAGAAGAAATGTATATAGGTACACATGGCATGACTCAGTTACTACTCTAGATCAGCTTCAGGTGACCCTATCCAGAACAAATCATCTTTTTCTGACCATCATGCAAATGTGTTTCACAATCACTCCCACCAAGTCTTTCAAGATATCTTGAGCTTTCTACATATTCTAAGCTGCACCAATTTTAATATATATTTTTTTATATATATATTAAAAAAATACAGTAAATGCAGAGTCAAACTACTGTAGACTAGCAATGATAGTCACACAGAAGCGCAACTCTGAATACAGATGAAGTCTGCAAGTGGAGATAACGTGACCTAGGTATCATCCTCCCATGACCCTAGTGAGACTGCCACACAAAAAAAACACTGTTGCAAGACCATGCACCAGAAATTCACTCTCAAAGGCCTCCTCCATTTTCCATCTTGCAGTAACATAATTATTTCATTATTTAATTACAAAATATTAGGTGAAGTCTACTAGTCATGCAACTTTAAGGTAGATTTTCTGTAAAAGGCATTACTGTGATGTGGGAAGGGAGGGGGAACAGCCTACACTACCACAAAGACATCTGTATAATTTTGTCACTTCTTAGTATGGATTCTCAAGTTCATTTATCCCTTATGGGTTAAAAGAGAATAACTCTTGAATTCAAATAAGTTCCTAAGCAAAGAGGATACAGAAGCTGCTTCAAATGATCTTTCAGTTCAAGAAAACAAATTTTCTTTTAATATAAATCTGGTTTGATATTGAGTTTGGAACTTGTGTGGTGGCTGTTAGCTGTAATTATAGATTCTTCTGTGAAATGGTTGTATGAAAGTACTGGATCTATCAGTTTACGCTAAAGAATCATAAAGAGATACTGATGCTGACATAGGTGATTAGAAGAGTTATATATAATATTTGAATAATGAAATTTGCATTTGTTTTGTTTTCAGACTGAATTAGGGTTTCCATTTAGAAAGTGTTGTTTCTCCCATCCTTCCTCTGTCACGTAATACACAAAGGGTAAACTGGCTTTCACAGTTTATGCATACAAAAATCTAAATTAATATGATTTCATTTCCAGCCTGTGCATATTTGAAAAACAGTAATTGGTTTCCACTTCCTCTTTTGCAATGTTATCTATATTTAATTCTTTAAACTGCATCATAAGGTTAAGTGTCTTAGGATCCAAGAAGAAAAAAGACCAGTGACTGCTCTCATTTTTAAATGCATTTAATTCTTCATGAAGTTGTAAATACAGGTCAATCTAGTTCAGAGAAAAGGTACAAAACAGTATCATACTGCTTCTTTCAGCACTAAGAAGGATCAAATAATATCCAGCATACAAATATAAACAAGTTATCTCCTTTGCATGCATGATTATATCATCTTTAAAGTGTCTGGCTTTAGCAAAGGTTATGATTCTCAGTATCTGTTTTTTCCCTTCCCCCACCTTAGAAAGATAACTCCTTTGCATTACCAAAACTCTCTGAAGCATTCCAACCATCAGCTACCTCAACAAATAAACTGTCTTTCAACACAAAAGTGGCAATTCAATGCCTTAATTTTTAATAATATTTCAGCTATGTCACAAAGGATTTGGATTCGTGAAACTGAAAATTAATTTAAAAGGCAAAAAGATTATAGATAACATACTAGTAACATTGTTCCTCAAGAGGAGAAATTTCAGGAAAAAACTCAGTAGCTGAAGGAGAAAGCAGGAGAACTTACTGAATGCAGCTCATGTACTTTCTTGACAGACATCCAAGACATCTGCTATTTTTATTTATTTATTTATTTATTTTAAAGTTATATGCTGGAGTGAAAAAGCATTCAAATTATTTAACCCTCAATTAATAACTTTTCCAGGATGGAAAGGAAGAAAAAACTTATTCTAAGTAAATTTGAATAATATTTTCACAAAGATTACAAAAGTGATCAAGAAATCACAGAAATGAAAAAAGCTATAGCTTCAGAGTTGGGGTTTGTTGGTGGTTTTTTGTGTGGTTTTGCTGGTTTTGGGGTGGATTCTTCAGCTTTAGGAGAACACTGGAGCGCAATCATGGTGACCATCCTACCCCTCCTTCCCAAAAACCATCATAACCTTCCGAAAAATCTAATAAAGTAAGACTGAAAATTTGACAAATTTTAAGAAATAATTACTCAGGAATCTGTGACTGTTTCCAGATACTTTGGCTTAATGCACAGAAAAACAAGCTGGTCGACTAGCTGATTTTTCTTTCAAGTGTACCACAATTTTAATTTTTACACAATGGCTTCTTTTCTACATAACTTTCCCCCTGCTCCCCCTCCAAATGGAATCTTCAATTATTCCAAGTAATGCACACTGCTGAATTTCAACACATAACTACAATTTTACCTCTACAGTTAAAGATGATGTGGCTAGACTGGTAGAGCCTTTCACACAAAAGGCTCCACAGCATTAGTCCTGTATGCTGAAAGAAGAAAACCACTCAATGAAAAATTTCCCTTTAGTGACTCAGTATTTTGTGCTGGGCCCATCTTTTAAATAATGCGTAAAATGCAGAATTTCACCATTTCAAATTTTAAGCAGTGCAGTTAAGCGATTTTAAACAGCATTACTTCCTGCAACAGTTCAGTTCTCCCTATCCAGCGTCTGTTAGGAAATGCACATTCATAACAGCGCCTTCATTTGCTTCTGTACCTCTTACAGTGTCAGAAACAACCACCTCGCAACAGGCACACGTTACAACACACCTGCCTGAGAACACCTGTGTGTATGCGCATCTGTGCGCACACACGCATGTACAGGCCCGTGACAACTACCAGCGTATAATGTACACATTATAATTGAATGCTCATGAAACATTGTCCCATTTTTCAGTTTCCCATACAATAATATTTGAACTTTGCAATATTCATACGTTCTTACCTAACATTACTGATGGTTTGGTTTTTAAATCAGTGTAATGATCCAGAATGAAGAGGATCAGATAGGCTAAGAAAGGGACGCTACGATGGCACAGATCCTGACAATAGTATAAGAGAACCAGCAGGAAGCTGCCAAGCACCTAACCAACAACCTACAAACAGAGTCAAACAGCAAAATTCCTTGTGGGACAGCGTATTTACACACAGCTCTTTCCTTGTTAGCTTCTTACTTAGATGCCTGGAAGACCGGCAGGCCTATCACTGATCTTAATACCCTCATCAGGAAAGCTTTACATGTAAAAATATGCTAGGCTTTATTTTTATAAAGGCAAGATCAAAATTTGTGCTGTGAGAAGCAGTATTAATGCTGAAAGGGAGTTATAATTAAACTAGATTTAAGAGACTTTTTCACACTTTAGAGCCAAGTTTTCCTCCTGTCTGGTGACGTTCTGAACTATGGGAGGCATTACAGTCAGGTTAAACCATTAACAATGAGATTTATTTCAGACAGGTATGAAATTAAAGGGGCAAGACAGAAAGGCAGCAAGATGAGCTTGGCCCTACCACACTGCTTGCAAAGCAGACGAAAAGCCTTCACCACCAGCCTGGCTGAACACATGTAGACATGCTGCCATTATGTTGTCCCAGACACTTTAACAAGATTACTGCTTGAACTGAACTGATGTGGAAGCAGCGTTGGCTTGGCTTGCAAGAAGCCAGTAAAACTGCATTCAAAACACCTGGATAACGTTTATAAAAACCTTTGTAACGTAAAAATGGCGTGAAAATGCCAACATTTTGTTATGTACATAAACCAGCTTTTTCTGTGCCTGGCCAAGAGCTATCAGTAGAAACTTCATTTGTCTGGTTTGGGGGGGTGGAGGGTGAGCAGTGGGTAGGTAGGGGCTTCCTCCCCCTTTTTATTTTTAAGAACACCTTTATTAAATGTTGAATATATCAGGAAAATATGCAGCAAGATTTGTCCTTTGACTTTTTCATACAGTCCTAGTAAACAAAAGTTAGCAATAAAAAGATGTAAATCAACATTATTCTTAAATGTCAGTGGTGACAGTGAAGCGGAAACAGAGCTTTAATTATTAAAAGAAATGTCACTTTTCTTCAAATGACCAAGCAGAACTAAGCATTGAGTGTTCCAAACATTGAAAGCAAGGAGAAAGTGACATTCTAATAATCTTAAAATTTAATCTCCACCAGTAAATCATTCCTTTTCCCCCATTTGGAACATTCAGTACAGAACAGAGTAAAATCTTTTATATACCAAAAGAAACATTAAACTCAGTGATACACTTTGTATCCCAGCTGCTACCACCTTAGAAGCAATGGATGATTAAATAAGCAAAGTCAAGATCATCCTGAGAAAGTATGCCGCAGGAATAGGAAAAGAACCAGAAACGGAACCCTAACCTCATGCCAACCTTCCTGTTGTTGCTTTGATGTTTCAGTGTGCCCATCCATAATCTAGAGGTAACACTGACATTACTGAAGCACAGTTGTTTGTAAAATGTGAAGCCTTCATACAAAGAGGTACTACTAAAACTATACTTTTTGTCCTTTATAGCAACAGTATTACAAACTTACTGCCACATTCAGTTTCAGTTAAGTAAGGCGTTATGCCGCACAAAGGACAGTTGGAAAAAAAAACATTTTTAAATTATAGTAACATATGAAGAGGCAGATAATAAAAAATACTGTCTTCTGAAAAATGAAGTAACTTTTTGGATCTCCTCCTATGATATAGGATATTTCTGACACATAAAGTCACAAAACTATGTTCTGAAGAGAAGTGTTTTCTCACAACAGGAGAGGAAGGATAGACACCTTATTCATCAAACAACATAGCGAAGGCAGAAGGGCTGCAAGTATGTGAGTACTGCTGTAAGTAGTTGCAAACCAGCATTTTAGTAAAGGACAGAAAGGCATCTCAGAAGCTGCAGTGACATTACACACAAAAAAAAATGTATTAAGGTGCTTGAACTTCCCAAGTAATATAAGAAATTAATCTGCATCCAGTGGACTCCGTTCGTTTTTTAAAGCTACATACACACAAAAATCCTGGGAAAACCCACTGCAAGTTGCCAAATTAATTGTTTTGAGCAGCTTCACAATGCAATTGGTTATTGATAAAACATACCATTAGGCATACCACAGCATTTCACTTTTTAAAACCAAAAAAAACCCCACAAAACGAAAAACAGAAGACATAGTTGCAAAAGCTATTTTCCTACAGCATGTGAAGAATTCAAAGTGAGTTCTTGATTTACCTTCTATAACTGCTGCTATAGCCTTTACCTCGTGGTGAAGGGCCATGTACGAATCTACATGTGTTCCCATAGAGGCAGTTGCCAGTCTTCAGCCAGTTACGGCACTGTGTCTAAGAGACAGACATCACTGGGTGAATTTCACACTCATTTCTGGAAATACCATTGGCGTGAGTGTGGCAGAACAAACAAATGACTCCACATTAACTCCCATTTATCTGTAATTTCTGTCCACCAGTAATATAACTAATTTAAAAAAAAATAATCAACAATGAGCATCAGGCCTAGCAGAGAAAAAATTAGGGTGGTGGAAATACTATTAATATGTACAGTACTACTGCTCCTCTCCAGAAGCTGGGACAACACACTTTATTTGAAAATTCTAGTATTAGTATGTTGAATATCCATGCGGTAAGGAGTTCTTTTCACCTTTACTAACATCAGTGACATCTGAGTATTTGGTACTTGTGAGCTTTTCACCACCTAAATCCTGGAAAAGAAGATGCTGGGGTGGGGAGGAAAAGAAGAACACTTTTACAACTCACCTCTGCAGTACTTCCAGTGCTGGGTCCAAGCCTTTCAAACACACTGGGTCTTCGGGATGTGCTATCGGATATGGTCTTGGTATTTTCCACTGTGACCTTCCTTCTAATTTTTGACATTTTGTACTACTTCAACCAAAAAAAAAAGCAAAACTGTAAAATCCTTCAGTTTGGGGCTATTGACACTGAACTCACATGAATAAAATAGTATGATATATGTTGTAAGAGTTGTTGCAGAGGTGATGAAGAAAGAAAAAGCAGTCATAAATGAGTGAAATGTATCTCATAACAAGGAATGCCTTTGATCTGAACAAGTCAGCTGAACACCAGTAATGGTAATTTCTCATTTTATTTTATGACCTGCTTTGGATTCTTCAGCTTCCCTTTGGGAAAGATCATATGACATGTTATTCATTTAGGTAGCAAATACCACACAGAACAGATGATTTCCTTCATCATGTATTTTTTGTGCATGAACTCAAGTGACATCAAGCGAAAAGAATCTTTAATTTTACTTCACCAACCTCTCAGAAACAGGTTCTAACCACTAAAAAAGGCTCCCATTTTCAGAAACAAATCTCCAAAAATGAGAGCTCCATTTCCCCCCCCACTTTGTTGTGTGCGACAACCTACTGGAAACCACCTTGATATCATCCACAGTTTGTGTTTGTTACTACTTTGTATCCTACAACTATTTGGAACCATCTGAATTTAGGAAAAAAAACAAAAACAAAAACAAAAACAAAAAAAACCCATCACAACAGTGATACACACACTTCTTATGCTTCTCAAGAAGCAACTCTTTTTCATTAAGAAAAGCAGATTTTAAAGCAAATACGCCATAAGTTTGATAAATAAGAAGTCACAATTTATCTTACCTGAAACAGGAAGGAGTTATTGAGTATAGAAAGGAAACCATATTAAAAAAAAAAAAAAGAAAGATATATATATATTTAGCACTAGAGACAGGTTGTAGAAAAAGGGCAAAATGGGCTCCAAAAACCATTGTTCATTCTTTAAGTGCTACTTGATCTGAACAAAAAACAAAAACAATTTGGGAAAATCTGACAGTTGCTGGACTATTTATATGCAGTATAGCTCAAAAAACTACCTCTTTGTTGTACTGCAAAGTGCTACCATCCTAGAGCTCATCAGTCAGTATAACATGATTAGACAAATACTAATCTCCCGCCCTTCTGCTGTCTCTTCTGCTCCTATCCGCATGTCGCTGCATTTAGAGCACAAACACGTAAGCTAATTTCTCATACACAAACAGGTTACAAATGACAAAAAGCTCATCCATACAGTCAGAATAATACAAATTTAAACTAACACCCACCAGACTGGATTAATAAACAGTTTCACTACTCTGATCAGCAATATGTTCCCATAGCATTCAGACTGTAAGGTTCCATTCTACAGCAGAAAAATTTGTAATGTATAAATGTGGACAAATGTACATAAAACGTAATACTGTTGGAATTTTTATTTTATACTTGATACTTTGATAATACCTGGGTTTCTTTCTTGTACCTTGGTGAAACTTCATTATCTGAATCCCACAGTCACTTCAATGACAAGACCTCCATAGAAGAAAGCGAGCTTACACTACGTACTTGAGAGATTTCTCAGCTCAGCTCTAGTGACTACTTCTCCAAGCCTTTGATTATCTGAAGATTTTTATCTCACAAGTAAGGTTCAGATAACCAAGACGTTAATGAAGATGCTCAGAGGGGGTAGGAGTTAACCACGTGGTATATACCAGACATTAAAAACAATGGTTAACATCAGTTAGTGGAAGCAGACAGTGAAACAGTAGAATTTGCCAGTAGTAAGAAATTATTTCGGTTAGTAAAAACTGTGGAGAATACAGATTCCAGAAAGATCTAATTGAGTTAGAAAATTGAGTAATACAACAGCAGATGAAATGCAAATAAATATAATGTAATGCACACAAGGAGAAATGATTTTATCTAAACACTCGATGAGTTCAAATTAGTCCAGTCTTCTGAGAAAAATAATTAGGAGTCATTGTGGACAGCTCAATGTGCAGCAGTAGTTATAAAGTCTGACAGGATAAACCATTAAAGTTAGAAAGCAAAACAATACCACATCTCACCTAGCTGAGCACCCTTCCATTTCAGGATTCTTTCCCACTGTATTTCAGCAAAAACCTCACTGAATTTGTAAGGTTTCATGCAGCTACACCCTTTAATTGAGGATACAAAAACTGACTGACATATGCAAAAGCACTTTTAATAAGACGATCGTATACCAAATACTGAATTTAGTTTAAATATTTATAGTAACGAGAGCCATATCTGAAATAAAAAGGGTTAGAAGAACGGCACTGGCAATGGCATAGGGAGAGGGTTCCACACATGAAGGACAGATAAAATGAGTGCATCTAATACATAAGTACAGCACACACTGACGTGACAGCAGTATACAAATACAAAAAATTCACATTCATTTTGCCTCCTCATTGGAATGCCCCTTTATTTTCAAAGAAACAGCGGCAAATCATCTTTTTTTTTAAATGTTACTCTTTACCCAGCAAATAGTACCTTGTTGGAATTAACTTCTATAGGAAGGTAGGTTGATAAGTATGCTTAAAGGGATAGTTGTAAACATGGAGAGGATGAAGGGAGTAACATCATCATAACTAAACAGGTAATTTCATTCCAGCTACCTACTTGCCTATATTTTGGCCAATAATCTCCTATAAGGAAGTTAGAAGAACACCATCCAACCCTTGTAAGGTTAGTAAAACATCATATTTTAAATAAAATTAAAACTTGGAATGCAAAATGAAAAACTATACTATTTCAGGTATTCTGTCATTTCTGTCAATTCTGCCCTTACATTCTGGCCCATATCCACTGATTTGCAACTAAGAACAGATACTTTATTGACAGAAGAGATTATTTCATAAGAATTTGTTCTAAGCAAACAAAAACGGCATGCTGTGACTGCACAGCGTATTACTTTCTGTATGCACATATTATCACACGAGGTTCACTAAGTGAATATAGTTGTTCCACAGGCTGGGATTAGAGTCAGAGGCAAACAGAGGGATTTTCACTATATTTTCACTATTTTCACTATGTCAAACATTACATTTGAGAGACTGTATCTGAAAATGCAGTCAGTCCAATTTTCATTCTTCAAAGACCAAGCACATTAAAAAAACAAAGAGACTATTAAAACCATACTGCAGTTGAAATCTCAGAAGCGTAACGGCAGTTTGATAGTACTGACAAGCTTCCTTGCTTATAAACAAGTACTGTGAGGGGAAAAAAAATGGTTTCATTTCCAAATTTTTCAGACTGCACATTAATGGATAACCAAGAACAATTTAAATGGAACAACCCATAAAAATTCCCACAACTTGTTCCGTTCTCCCATATTTTCATCTTATCTTGCTTTACGCTTGCTGATCACAGCCCTGATGTCAATGCCACACTGATGGCCAGTGCAATGATTTCCTTCTCCAAACACCGGTGTCTCTAAGCTACCATCTCCTTACCAAACACTCCACGTGGATTCGACAGCACTGAGTATCAGTGGTATCAGTGTGGGCTGAGCCTTCAGCATGCAGATTTCAACATTTCAAATAACTACTACCACAACTTTTCAGAGAAAAGTTTCTAAGTAGAAAACGAAGCACTTCTCTATTTCAGGTACGCGACATTGCATTGCCGAAGCTACTGAGGGGCACTGAAGTGTCTGCAACTTCTGAAACGCTTGCTACCACTAAGTGGAATTAACTTTATACTCCTAAAATAAATTCTACAGCTAAGGTTTTAACTGTGAAGTATCACTTTCCGTACAGAAATAAGATCCATGGGAATCTTTAATAATAAATATTCTAACACTGCGACAACTTACCCACAGATGCATCTATGTTATTCTCTAAACGCAGTAACTTTTCCAGGGTGAGAGACAATCTATTAATGACATTAACTACACCACCATTTGAAGTAAAATATATCTCAGACTGTTACTTCATGAACAAATCTAAAATGCAGACAGACTTGAGAGATGTGAATATCCCTAGTGGGCACTAACCAAGTAACTGAAATCAATGAAGCATGACATGATTGACACAATATTCAGTGAAATTCTGTGGTCTTATTATTGGTACTCCTACATTTTGGCATCAAGCACACAAGAGTCTTCTTCAATAGAAGTATGATATTACATAGGCCGCGATCAAGAGAAACAAATCTGAAACAGACACTTTTCTGTTAGAAAAACCTAATCCAGTCCTCTGCAAATCCTGCTTCTACATAAAAACTAGAAACTGAGACGTAACAGAACAAAAGCAAAGTTCACAAAAAACTATAAGGAGATAAAATCTCTTTAAAAGTCCAAGACATCACCAGCAAGCACATCAATGTCTGTGCATGGATACGTGCACCCCACACATGGGCTAAACACTATGTCGTTTAAGAAAATCCTACCTGTGAAGTGGTAACACGCCATTTAAGATAACAAGCAAAATTTTAATTTTAAAATCCCCCAGAAGTTCAGATACAAACCGATTATAACACTCTAATATAAACTAAATAGTTGGTGACAACTAAATAATCGCTTAGAAAGAGGAAAATGCCAGTGCTTCCCTTCACTTTTCCAAATGAAGAGCTTTTCCCTGAAAAGGTTTTGTTTCTGATTACAATGTTAACATTTACACGTTGCAATATTGAAAAATAGTGATATTTGAAGGAGCTCCACAGGTTTACTACCCAAAAATAATGCTAAAAATAGTAAAACACGTTGTTAACCAACTTTGAAAAAAACGGTCAAATACTGGTTGCGCATTTATGCGATGTCAGTCTAGCACTCTTCAACTCACACAAAGAAGCCTGTTTGACAGAGAACTAGAAATTATTCCACATTTACTTTAACAACTCCATGCTGTTAACCCGCCACTATGTTAACGTGAACCTATCCCTCTCATTTAACATATGGTATTTCTCCATTAGTAGTGACAAAACAACTGTCACGGTTGACTTTCTACGTGTAACTAAATAAATTAAAACACCAGGCCCTAGTACCACAAAAGAAAGTACACGGTATTCTCTACCTTGTCTAACAAAGCCCTTGCGCTCCAAGATGT